GAAGAGGGGATAGCTCTTTGACTCCCTTGGAGTCAGTTATACGCGTTGTCCACTGGATTGTCCTTGAGCCGAGCTGAACCCTCGTGGGCCACTGAGGCAGCGTTCAGACTTCGCGACGGCAGCGCTTCGGTCGCGCGTTCGACGCGATCGATGCGCATGCTTTCGACTGCATCGATCGCGTCGAACGCGCGACCGAAGCGCTGCCGTCGCGAAGTCTGAACGCTGCCTGAGCAGGCTAAATACTCACTAAGTCAGTAGATCGTAGCGATCGTTTGTGAAGTTCATGGAGCATCCCAGCGGAGCAACAACCACTATTCCCCGTTATACATTATCCCCTTATTTTTCTCGTCGTTTCCTCAGCTCCTTTCTCATTTTTGCACTTCTGAAGTGCCAAACCAGAACCTGAAGGTGCTGTTCGGCTTGGGCGAGAGGAGGGAGGGGGGGGGGGGGTGGGGGTGGGCTTCGTTTGGGCTAGTTTCTTCGACTAGTTCCTATCAGTGTGATGTACATGTCTCGCCTTGGTAAAAACTGTAAACTCTTATCACGTGTAAATGAGCTTGCATCGTGCTATAGCTTTGCAAGAGTTTACAGGTCTTCACAGAAAGCATCGTCAATGATCGATGGGACTCAGCAATGCACCCCCCCCCATGCCAAACAGCTCCCGTTTTTCCTTTCTATTATGCTTAGAAAACCTTCAAAAAATGCCCTTGAAGGTTTCAGGTACACCTGTGGGATTACCCTCTTTTCAAATGAGGAGTGAATGTCATTAAACAAAACGCCGGAATCGTTCCGTCATCGAGGCGATGACCTCCAAACAAATCCCCCGCAGTTCCGTAGATGAATTCGGGAATCATGTAATTAACGGTACGGTACGACATCAGAAATGTCCTCAAAATGAAGGACGTCTAGCCTGATCAAACAGGGGGGGAAGGACTCCGAAGCGCGGATGACACATCTTGACGGGTGGAGCAGCGTGTGTATCGGCCATGATATATTTTCGATGGTCTTACGGATAATCCATCTTGACGGATGAACGGCGTACGGCGGATACGGTACCACTCAGTGCTCCCATATGCAGGTACGAAATACGGGACGCAAATTTATTTCCGGTGGCGACAATTTCGGCAGCCTTTTGATGAGGTTCACGACGGACGCTGGCGGATTCTAAGGAGATTCCTTAAATGCAAGATGTTTTCGGTCAAAGAGGTTGACCAAATCTCAGGGCCAAAAATTAGAAATATACTAAAAGTTGATACACTTCGGCTTGGTGGGGGCACCGAATGATACTCAGCCAAGCTAACAACCAGTGAATTCCTGTAAGACAGTGGCTTACTCGCGCCATTTCGCAGCTTCACAGGTCTTTGTGAGACCAGTTATCTAACATGAACTTAGGAAACAACATAGCGAAAGGTAACAAATGCTCCCTAAGCGAAACAGTGCCTAATTCTTCTTCTTGAGAACATACTAATTAAAAAAACTCACATTCATAAATCCATCAAAAATATTGTTGACTTTATCAAGACCAGTGACGAAATGTTTCCAGAACGTCAACGATTTTTCCATATGTACCGTAATCTGCAACTATAAATCATATCGTACTTCTTCGACTGCGATGCCGTGATTACGGTAGTCCAAGAGCGTAGTTAATAGATAGGGGTATGGTGTAACCCTTCCCTCATTGATTGCCGCGCGATTTCTTTCCATGCCTTCAATCATACAACGACGCTGACTTGCCGACACTGTGTGCTGAAAACGTAGAGATGAATTTGAATCAGCAACCAGCCGGGTGAAAAAAAAGGTGACCAAGTCTGGTTCGCAACACCGCAATGTGGGAGAAAAGATTTTTCGAGGGAGAGAAACTTAGAGAAGATCCCCATATAGAATAGAAAGTACAAAGATGGAAAGCTGTACAAAAAAGGATCAATCAAGTGGTGGGAGGAACACCTGCTTCGGAAGAAGAACCTGTAGGAAGGAAGATCCAGGTTGAAGTCCGAAGTGTGAGGAGAAAAGCTCTACAAAAAAGATTAATGGAACGCTCAGATGACTACAGCTTGTGGAAGAACTTGTAGAACATCTGAGGGGAGAATCCCAATAAGGGGGTGGGGGCATTTGAAAGGATTACCTCTCGAACTGAAATAGTCATTATACGGAACTCTTTTCGGAAAGAGGAAGTGAGCTCGCCGACCCTACTTTTTCTAAGCTCGGACGGACGAAGGGAGGGTGCAGTGGCAAGAGGGATTGCGCAAAATACTCGAGTTGGCCCTGCGGAAGTTTATCATTTCAAAAAGGGGAGTGCCAGATTGCCGGGCCCTAATCTGACTTTCGTGGGGCAACCGAGCTGCTCCTCCTTTCTATGATAGAATCGAACTATCCCTGAGCCTCATGCGTTATAATGTCTTCTTCAACAAAATTCAATGAGTACTCGAAACACAATATTCATTGGTAAGCTTTCGCTGTGATAACAGCTTCTTCAGACCTCAAATAAAATACAGCATATATAGTACTACAAATCTCTACAACAATAGAGCTGGTCTAAGTACTAACCAGACTGGAGCCTTCCTTAGGACCCTTCATTGTTAAGGAAAGGCTCCAGTCTGGTTAGTACTTAGACCAGCTCTATTGTTGTAGAGATTTGTAGTACTATATATGCTGTATTTTATTTGAGGTCTGAAGAAGCTGTTATCACAGCGAAAGCTTACCAATGAAAATTGTGTTTCGAGTACTCATTGAATTTTGTTGAAGAAGACGTGCTCCTTTTATGTTGTCCTTTTCCCCTTTCAAATGCAGCAGTTTCGCAGTGGGGATGAAGGACAGCCAAAGTCAGGTTCGTAATACTCTCAGACGAATCTGGCCGCACGCAATTTACCGGCCCAGAGGCAGTAGGTTTGGCCTGTAACAGTGTGAGTAATAACTCTTGATCAAGCACATGAAATTTCAATGATGTTGCCCCCAACATGCTGCGTCAACTGCCGGCACTACCCCGGCCCTATACGTTCCCTATGTGCAGCGTTGGCCCGGATCATTCCGAACCAAATGTTATTGCAGGGGACGTGGGAAGCCATCTGATCTCCCAGTATTCCACCTATTCCGTCGTTAGACTAAAGTGATATGATATTCTCTCGCTCACTAGACCCCTTTCCCGTCCTTGGAATCCTACCTGAACTCTCTGTCAGTTAGTCAGTTGCATAGAGTTGAAACTACCAACAGCACCACACCTAAGAGGTAAGAATTAGGCGCTGTGTCGGCTTGAAAGAGGCATTTAGGGCAGTTATATTATGTTTTTTTTTTTTTTTCTTTCAAGCTGGTTCCCATGTCCTGTGTAATTGCTTACAAGGTTCGACAAGTCTACACACTCGAGGCGGTATCACTTCATGGCTTCAGATGATTTCAAGGATCTCTACTTGATGGCTCGACACAGCAATGAGAAGTAGCGAAAGTGCAAAATACCCCCCCCCCTAGCCCAACTGAACAAAATAATTCCAAACAAAAAGAATAAAAGAAGAGACTGTGGAAATCAAGGATGAGCCACGAAGAAAGAAATATCGAGAAGCTACGGGACAACGATTCGTTCGAAACCTTTGATAACTAAAAGTCCTACCATGTTGGTCGAAACGTTTGATAACTAAAAATCCTATATAAAAAGCACCAAACGTAACAAAAATGCTACGATTTATGAAAATAAGAGAGAAAGGGAGAGGAGTAAAAAAGCTCATCGCGGAATAAGGACTGTAGTGAGTAAGAAGCCGAGGTTGAAGATCAGGTGGGCCGAGTACTTCTTTCGAGTTTGGGTTGGCCGTTGGATCAAAGCGGTTGCCGTCTGATTACTCTTGGGAGGTCACACGAACCGACCAGGCAAGCCAGTGGTCGGACTTCTTCTAACCTTGCACGAACAGAACAAGTCGTTTTTCGTCCCTCAAGAGATAAGAATCCACTGGACCATTTTTGCCAGCAACGGGGGCCAATTGAGATTCCTTGGTCAGTTCGGGGAGCTTGATGACCAGTGGGACACAGGTGGTGCACTCAGGAAGTAGCGAGAAATCAGGCGAGCGGACTCCCAACAAGATTGCGGGCACACTTCGTCTCGGGGGGGGGGGGGTGCAGGGGAACTATAATAGTTACAAGTATTCTTCACAAAAGCTGACAAGTAGTTTCTACCAACTTCGACTGGTGTCACTTCGTGGCTACACAAGATTTTACAAATCTTCATTTGATGGCTCGATACGACAATGGGAAATAGCGAAAGTGCAAAATGCCCCCTTCAAGCCGAACTGTGCCAGAATGAAGTCTTAAGAAAATTGGCACAGGACGTACAGGGCTATAACTCAGACGGTAGACTATTTAAAGCAATAAAAGGCCGTAAAAGTGACCGGCACACTTCGGCACAAGGTACAGGATTGGGATGGGTGAACTGACTAGTCTCTGCGACTCCACCCTCCTCCCCACTACGGCCCCCTGCTCCCAACTTACTCGCATTTTTATCAACTTGCCGGGGAGGTCCATAAGCACGAAACGGGTTGTATCAACAAACGGAAAATTTTCTATCGAAGCCAAATACGACTCCTCTTCTAGCTTCCCCTTAACGACCCTCTGATGAGTTTCGCTCGGTTACAGGGCATCTCCAACTGGATGATGCGCCGCGAGGCTCCGGTGGTATTTTCCCAACGCATATTCTGACCGAGTTTTCACTGAGAGGAAAATGAGGAAGAGAAAAGGAATGAAGACAAGAAAGAAGAAGGGAGGAAGAAGAAAAAAGGAAGCAGGTGAGACGTTCCGCTTCAACATCGATATGATATGAGCCGTAGTTTTCATAGACGAACCTTATGTCCAGATAGGTTTGATAGTAAATAGTAACAGTAAAGTAAGCTTACCATGGGATTCATCAGTTGGAACATGATGACGAACATTTCCTCGAACAATCGGCCAGTAATCTGCGACACTTTGGCGTCGGAAAACGGCGACGAGAACGCTCGTAGACGATTGAAATTGATTTTTTGGTGGGTAACCCTCATCGTGGTTTCCCACAAGCATTGGCGAGACGGTGGGCGAGACCATCGAGAAGACAATAAATACCTGGGAATTGCTCTGATAGAATGCTCCATAAGTACGATCGAATAGAGTATCCAAATGCTCGTGGCATGCGTTGAGTGAATTGTAGAAGAATGCTT